TGCAGCTACATTAATTTGGGTTCAAAGTTGTTTTCTTTGAGGACTTGAATTAGTTCTCACCGAGCTCTGTTTGTATTGAGAAATCTGCTGATTCTGATGGGCTTTCCTTTATATGTGAATTGATTCTTTTCTCTAACAGCTTTTAATATGTTGTTCTTGTGCTGAATATCTAGGATCTTGATTATTACATGTCTTGATGTAGATATATTTTGGTTGATGCTAACTGGAGTTCTAAATGTCTCACTTAGTTACGGTATGTCAGATTCTTTTCCTATGCTTGGGAAGTGCTCTGCTATTACTTTTGAAAACAGTTTATGTATGTCATTTATGTTGATTCCTTTTTCATTGACACCTATCAGCCTTATGTCGTTCACCTTTATGTCATCTTGTAGCTGTTCAATTATTTTTTCCTGGCTCCTTGTTATTTTTAAAAGATCTTTCCTTTTGTTTGCTAGCTGCAACAATGTCTTCAAGTTCTGAAAGCCTATGTTCAGTTTCTTTCAACAGTTTTCCTAGATTTAAGGGAACTTTAAATTTCCTGGACATCTCTGAATCTATTTCATGCATTCTAATTCTTTCCTATACTGTTAATTCAAGGTTTCCATCATTTTTCTATGCTCTTCTATTATTTTAAATCTATGTCTTCTTTAGATATGCAATTCTTTTATTATGGTTATAATTTCTCTTTTTACCTTAGATTATTTCTGATCTATTTCCCTCTGTACCTGCCTAGAGTTGTTTCTTTACTTCAGTTGCTATCATTTCAGAGATTTCAGGTGTGTGACTTTCAATTTCTTCTATGTTAATGTCTCCTGGACTTGCTCTGATTGGGCTTGGGGTCTGAGATTGCATTTTGCTCCTTCAACTTGTCATTTTCTCTTTCAGACAAAACTCCCTATTTTGATTTCTGTGATAATCCTTGGAAAATTTTGATAGTAGTTAGCTATATCACTGATATCAAGGCCACTCTAGGAAAAGTCTATTTTTTCAGAGATATCTTCTGTGTGTCAGAGATTCTTCATTTCTGTCTGTCCCAAGATCCTGCCTTTTCATTTAATTGAGAATGAGATGTTAACTTCTGTTTGGAACTGTCCTCTGTCCCTAGATGTAGAGCTTTGGTGAGGTTATTACCCCAGTGCTTACCAATATTGTTACCCAAGGGAGAACAAGTGGTTAAAATCGATACAATATCTGAGCTACAGTAGTAAAATTAGCAATGACATCAAGCAAAATTTAGAAATTGACAAATTTTGGTAACCATTGGTTTTTTACTTTACACTATAGAAGCAAAGTCAATATAATTATACAACAGAACACATCATAAATTGGGAATTGGTACGCAAAATGTTTCCCTTTGCCAAGAGTGGATGCACTCTGTGCTCCTCTGGCCAGGCAAGTTCCCAGGTTCTAGGTGCTTCACTTTGTGTAAGGGGATGGACCAGGCACCTAAATTATTCTGCCAAGCTAGCAGGTTGCCTGTCCTCCCATGTAGGGGAAAGGCCTGGGTACCTGGATTCCTCTGTCCATGCTAGTGGCTTAGAGTTACAAGCACTTCCACTCTGGTTGCAGATCCCACTGTGCTTCATTTGTTTTCTTATCTTTTGCTATTATTGGTATATCTCATTGAAACGTTTTGGTTTTCTTTTATATCCTCTATCTTGTCAACTTGACCAGCTTAAGTGATGCCTAGTCACACCTCACTCTGGGTGTGACTATTAGGGTGTTTCTAGGGATGACTGGTAGGAGGGCCTACAAACTGAAAGGGGAAAACTAGCTTTGAATGGGGACAGTGCCATCCAATAGGCAAGGAAGCTCCAAAAGTGGAGGGAGGAAGCCAGCTAGCACATATGAACTCAATTCTTCTCAAGTAGTTGTGTCTCGCTGCTATAACTGCCTGTCAACATCAAATTCCAGCTTCCTAAGTTTTCTGACATGGGCTCTCTCTTAGCAGTGACTCTCAAGACATTCAGATGCAGAATGGGATGCACTGTTGGTCCCCCTTGTTCTGAGGCTTCGAGAACCATGGTCTGAATAGCTTCTGGTTCCTCTGGCTTTGTAGTGTATAGATAGCTACTGTGGGACTCTCCAACCTCTGATTCTGAAAGCCTATACCCTTTTGTATTTACACATGCATTCTATTGATTTGGCTCTTCTAGAGAACCCTAATACATTCCCAAATGTTTGCCTGATGATACTCAACTCAGTTTATAATATTACAGTATTTTATTACTTCTAGTTTTGTCCTGTTTAGAGGTTTCCTTCATGCATAGAAAGTCTTCTATGGTTATTATTTTTTTGTGGTTTTATTTTTTGGAGGAGGAGTGAAGTTGTTTCTGGGTTTCTTTTATTTTTGTAAAATATCCTGCCTCATCCTGCCTTCATTTTAAAAATTACCTTCTTTTGTTTGACTGTCCTATTGCTAAAGTGAACTATATTTTTTTTTCTGAATCTAATTCTCCTTCAAGAGCAATTCTGGCTGAAGAGATAGCTCAGTGGCACAAGCATCTGCCTCGCAAACACAAGGTCCTGGGTGTGACAAAAAAAAAAAAAAAATCTGCTTGCTGCCTATTACTTTCACAGCCCCAGTGTTTTGAATATTTTACCATATCTAGTACTGTAACTACTTTCTCTTGCCCTGTCCTATGTTTGCATTTGGTATCAGGCTTTGCTTTCTTTCTTTCTTTCTTTCTTTTGAATTTAGGACAGGGTGTACAGGGTCTTACTGCGTAGATCGGACTTGTAGTGATCATCCTGTTTACAGTCTCCCAAGTGCTGGAATTATAGGCCCGTGCCACTGCACCCAGTCTCAATAGCCATCTCAGTGCACCCCAGGGGCAGGACTGGCACGCAGGCCAGGGGATCAAACTCCTGGCCCTTGTGTCTGCCTAAGCAGGCGCTTTCATCCACTAAGCTATTTGGCTGGCCCTTCAGGCTTTGCTTTCTAAGGATGCTTTTGTGTGTGCCTCTTCTCAGTTGCTTGTGCTCTTCATGAGTCTTTTCGTCCCACCCTGAGAACCATGGGCTTGTAAAGGTGAGAGGGCAGAATAAACTGGGCAATTACTATGCTTATGGCAACTGGAGGTCACAGCACTGTTCTTACCTCTGGCATGCTGAAGAGAAGGATGTATGTGGCTTATTTCTTCTGCTTGTTGATTTGATAATGATTTTTCAAAGAGTAAAAAAAAAAAATCAGAGAGCTGCCACTGTCTTCCAAAAGCCTTATGTAAGAAGGCTTTTAATTATGTGTTAGATCTCTTTATTAGACACACAACTGTGACTTTTTCATATCCTTTTGCATTTCTTGTCATTGTCAGATTCTGTCAGTTGTTTTTTCTGTATGATTTGTTGATTTCATAAACACTTTCAAACTCAGTGGCATAATGTTACTCTTCATATCCTGTTACTAGATTTCACACAGATTTAGAAATTATAAATAAAACACTGTTCTACTGGCAATACATGTCCTTTTATTTTTTTATTTTCTTATTTTTTGTGGTACCAGGGATTGAAATCAGGATCCTGCACTTGCCAGGCAGGTGCTTATTCTACTGAGCTATCTCCCCAGGCCTTTTATTTTTTGATCAGTCTTTTTGAGAAATATGTCCAAAATCTCAAGATTTTCAAAACTGGCACAGCTCTCATTAAAAGGCGAGGTCTGTGCTACCTCTTTTAAAATCTCTGAGGACAGTCACTGCATTCACCAATTACATACACAGATGTAACACTGAATTCTTTGGTTAGGTTACAAAATTCCCTGCTGGGTTTCTGGGATTGTTGTTTTAAGGAAAACCAACTGCCATAAAGAAATCTGATCATTCTTAGACTATCATATTGGAAAAATGGCAAAAAAAAAAAATTATAAGCAAGAGTGGATTTAATCATAAATCCACTAACACTTAGTAAATCAACCACAATCCCCACTACAAGTTTGTGCTACGAATAAAAGTACCTATCTTTTGGCCTCATAACTCATAAATAATTTCAGCACACAGAGAAACGTAATTCAGAGGGCAAGAGTTGAAATAAGAAATGTTACATAGAGAAATCACAGAACTATTGTGTTGGAGAATACCATGAATGCTTCATAAATGGTCTGAATTTCTATATAGTCCATTCTCTCCCCTATTTTATTTTAACTTGTAAGCTGTGAAAGGGATAATTAATTCTGATGTGCAGTACTGAAATAACCCTACTTCGACAACACACAGTGAAAATGTATTCTTAAAGGGAGTTTAACATTTTACAGGTACAAGAAAAAGACCAAAAAGAAGAAAAAAAAGATTATGGATTAGGGAAATTCAAAAAATATCAGCACTTATTATAATTTTTGAATCATTAAGTGTTCAATTAATATTAGATAAATAAGTACTAGTTAATTTCAAGTATCTTAAAACCACAGATCAGTTTCTAACCTATGTCATAAACATGACATGCAATGAAAAGCTACTGAACTAAGCTGGGTATAGTGGCACATGCTGCAATCCCAGCCCTGAGGGAAGGTGCAGCAGCAGGACAGCAAGTTGGGGCCCAACCTGAAATCCTTAACAAGACCCTGTTTCCAACAAAAAATAAAAAAGCTGGATCTAGCTCAGTGTGAAAGTAAGCTCACCCCATTTCAACCCCCTCCAACAAAAGTTACAGAAGTATTCATTTATATCATAATTCCAGGGTGGTGACATGCCTCAGGAACTATTTTCATTCCCTTAGAAATAGTCAATTTCTTCTTGCAAGTAAGATATTCCCAAAAAACAAGATTAAAATAAAGTCAACTGTCAAAACAGATCCACTGGGGGGCCAGGGAGATGGCTCAGTGGAATAAGTGCTTCCCTGGCAAGCACAAGGGCCTGAGTTCAATCCCCAGTTCCGCCAAAAAAAAAAAAAAAAAACAGATCCACTGGGATTGTTTTTAGCTCAGGAAGAAAAAAAATGCAAATGGTTTACAATGGATATGTTACATATAAAATGAGTAACCCACTTAAAATAATGTGTAAATAACCTACCAAATCCAGGGACACTTTTGAGACTGGCTTTAAGACAAATCTTCTCCAATCTGAGGTAGCTGTATCTCATCAGACAGTTCCATAGAAACATCCAGTCCATCCTCGTCCGGTGGTTCATGATAATGACACTCCTTTCTCCAGGTACAAATGCATCACCTGTTATAATCACTTTTACACCAAACATGGTCTCCAACAATGCCTATGAAGAGAACAATACATATAGATGACAATTTAAAGTTTAAGCTTGGTCATGTTTCCCTTGATTCTTGCTTCTATAAGGAACTGGGGAGGTTACTCCAGAAAAATGAGAGAAGGGCTATGCTCTTTTTTTATTCTAATTTAAGTTTCTGGCCACTTCATAATAGAAAAGTGCTTGCTATTAATGAAATCAAGATTAAATTGAAAAAATGCAAGAGGTGTACAGTAAAATTCTATTGTATCATTTTTTAAAGTATATAGACAATTAAAACTATTACTCAATTTTCTTCTGGGAAAGATAGTCCAAAGGTATAACACTAGATAAAGGGCTCATGAAATGAAAATCTAAATTTTCATTTCTATGTTTTTTTGTAGACCAATCTTTTGTTAAACAAAACCACATCTGTTCCATTTTAACAATAAAAAATAAAAAAACTGTGTGTCTAATAAAATCCTACATTCCTGGCACCTACCAGTATGCCTGGCACATAGTAAAATGTTCAAATGTTTTTGGAATTTGTTCAATTAACTTTTCTAATACCCATGAATATAAATATCTAAAATATCTTACAGAAAATATGTTACAGAGTAGAGTTTTAAAAAGTAAAACCACAGATAAGAAAACTGTTTACTCATTTGAATCAATTGTTTTAAGTTGTTTTTTACATGAAATCCTTCTATGTTGCCCAAGGCAGGCTCAAAGTTCTGAGCTTTAGGGGGCCAGGGAGATAGCTCAGTAGAATAAACGCTTGCCTGGAAAGTGCAAGGCCCTGAGTTCAATCCCTGGTACTACAAAAATAAATAAACAAACAAACAAACAAACAAATAAATAAATAAAATGAAAGTTCTGAGCTTTGGATAGCCTTCTACCTCAGCCTCTTAAGTAGTTGGGACTACAGGGGTTTTTTGTTTGTTTGTTTGTTTTGTTTTGTGATACAAAAGAATGACTTTCAAAACATCAAAATCAAACAATCAAGAAAAAAAAATAGTTCTAGCACTTCGGAGGCTGAAGCAGGAGAATCATGATTTGGAGGTCAGCCTGGTCTATAGAAAAATTTGAAGAGCTAGCCTGGCTAACTAGAAAGAGCTATATATCCTATTCTTAGAAAACAGGTTAAAAATGTTTTTAATGTTAAAGAAATACACTAGAGAATGGGGAGATAGCTCAATGGTTTAAGTGCCTGTTTGACAAGCACAAGGACCAGAGTTTGATCCCCTATACTGCATGCCATGCTGATCGCAGAACTGCAGATGCACCATGCTGGCCCCAAAACTGGGCGTGGTGGCATATCCTGCAATCCCAGCACTGGGGAGGCTAAGACAGGAGGATCAGTCTGAACTGCACAGTGAGACCCTATATCCAATAAATAAAAAAAAAAAAAGAAAAATTCACTAGACATGTAAAGAAAAGTCAGAAAAGTTGTATGACCAAGTTACTCGACACAGTGTTAATATCCTGACAAGTAAAAATATGATCATCTGGTATGAGAAACAAAAAGTGTAAATAAGGACCAAACAGTATATTAGGTGTTGTGAAACAGGAAGAAAATGTTCAAATGGGGAGAGGAGGAAGGGTTGAGAGGGAGTAGGAGAACGTGGAAAAAAAGAATTAAATTATACCATGTATAGGTACAAATTCTCTGTGATGCATGTTATCATTATGCATATCTAAAATGTGCTGATAAAATCCGATTGAAGGGAAAGAAAAGTAAGATCATTTGACCTAATGCAGCTAAAAACAATCCCAGAGGTGCCTGTTAAATTAATTCCTAGGGCTGCAATTCACAAAAGGTCATGGATATTCATCTTGGCATCTATCATCCCGTATCACACCCTTAAAAAGGGCATTCCACAAGAAATCCTCTTTAAATTATATACATCATGTAAATACATACATATGTGCTTAACAGAATGCCTACCATGTTCATCAGATTTTTTTTTTTTTTATTATGTATTTGAGTACAGGGTCTAAAGGGTCTCACTACACAGACTGGACTAGTAGTGATCCTGTTTTCAGCCTCCCAAGTGTTGGTATTACAGGCATGGGCCACCATGCCCAGTCTCAACTGCCATCTCAGAGCAAACCCCGGTCCCTGCATTGGCCTAAGCAGAAATAGTTCACTATTAATTAGAAAATAGTTCACTATTAATTATGTGTTTTACTAATGCAAAGAGGTACAAGCCTATACTACCCAAAACTCAAGTGTAAGCCCATGTACAACTTCTAACATACGATTCCTATGGCTCCCAAATAATATGTTTGCTTTTCACTATGGAAGCTGAAACTGCCAAAACAGAACAAGTGACACGTTCCCAGGAGCATCTAGTAGTGCTCATTCCTTGACATCTAACACTCTCTATATAACTTTCAGTCATATTCTAATAATCCTTTGGCATCTTGGATCTCAAGCTCATTTTTAAAGATCAAATCATTTTTAATACTGGCAAGAAATATCTAATCAACATTATTTCTAGCCTGCAAATGCAGAAAACACAAATACGAAGTTTAATGTCTATAAAGAACTCCAAATTTTAAAAATCCCATATTTTTTTAAAACCTGAAAGAAAGGCACCATTCTAACATTTCTCATATTTGTTCTACTTGTAGCATAGAAGATAACTTCAAAAGAAACTAATACTAATGCTCAGAAGTTTATACAGCTTCATTTTTTTATTCAATTAAGAATGACGATTCTCATGAATTCTACCTAATTGGGTCAAAGATTTTTCATATAATTAAAATACAGACGCAATTTCCACACACATATATCATAATTACTACATCCAGTATTCCACCTCTCCTAAGAGTAAGTTTTGCCCTCACACTCTTCCTCCTCAATCACCTTTTCAATGGATCTTTAGTCTAAGATAACAGTTCCATGACAATGTTTATTTCCAAGTCAGCTTTGGCTTTGCAAACTAACTTAGTCCTGTTTCCCCAGATCCCTACCCATTTAAAGATCTGTAATCCCAAGACATTCTTCAAACACAGAAGAACTACATTCTTAGAGGCAACAGTGTAGGAAGAAATTATATCCAGTAATCTATGTTAACTGAACATCTGTTTACCCTAGGACAATGGTATGACCATACTGTAAAGAGATTTCTACCCTGGGAACAAAGTTAAAGAATAAGCTTTCAAACTCTTCTCATGAATTCCGGGTGATTTTACAATCCCAGGTAATTAACAATAAAGCTGCTGGTAAGACTCAGATTGTGAGGGGCAAACACTACTCTGGGTACATACAGGAGTTCACCCTAATCATACTGATTATATCAAACAGAACTATCCAATCATGAAATGAAGACACATTCACTAGTAGAGAAATGTCTAAAAAAGCAATACATGGCCTTATACAAACTGACACAAAGGATCCTTGCACACACAGCTGGGTTACATGAGCTCTAAGTCTCATCTAATTACAGGCTACTACATAATTTACATTTTTGAATGCTATGCCTCATTTAACACTGAAAATGCACTCCTTAAAAATAGTAAGACAGGAAAAAGAAAAAAAATTCGCCAACAAAATAATTTTAATGCACAAGAGAAGCTTACAAAAGAGATCATTTTGATTGGCTCTGTGAAACAATAATTACTTTAAGTGCATTTAGCCTCTATTTTTAGTGAAAACTTATTTTCAATTGTTTGGGAATGCTTAAAACAAAGTATGCCTATAGGAGAAAAAAAGACCAAATTGTTAATTAAATTTATTCTGAGTAAGAAATGTGCTCAAAAATAAGTCTTTTTAGCACCTTATAAAAGTATGAAATATAAGGGGATAAGATACCCTTAACAGCTTTTTCCATTTTTTAAAACAGAGACAATTACTAATTTAAAAGTGGAATATCTAAGAAGAATATATGCAGTGTATTATTTGTTGAAACTGTACTTCCGATTTTATTTGAAACTGTCTCATTGCTATCTGTTTATCAATGAAACTTTGAAGAAAAAAAAGTGGAATATCAATTTTTCTGTATGCTAGTTATAGTAGATAAGACTTCTATTGATTTCTTAATGACTTAATGACTCTCTCCCTGACACACTGTGTCTACTGAACTAAACACCTGCATAACAGTTTTTCAAAGCATACACTGATTTCATAGTTCGGTAGTACAGCAACCTTTCCCATACATAAAACTTTCAAATTGCTAATAGCACAAAAGTCACAAATAGCTGAAATCACCATTGAAAATCTCACAGGAAGGTGCCTCAGAAGAGCTCAGCACACTATAGTTAATTCCAACTCAGCAAGTTTTCCTAGGGTTAGACCAGACTGCTTTTTCTCCAGCTGAAGAGAAAAACCTTCATTATCATGAAGGTGTGCAAGTTTATTTGTTAAAATGAATTAATTTATTTATTTGGTATAGGGGCTTGCTATGCAGCCCAAACTCATTGTGATATTCCTGTCTCAGCCTCCCCAGTGCTGAGATTATAGGTGTGTACCGCCCTGCCCAGTTTTGGTGGCCAGCTTGGTGCAAGGCTGGCATGGCATGTGGTACCAGGGACTGAACCCAGGTCCTTGCACTTGCCTAGCAGGTGCTTAGATTGCTCAGCTATCTCTGTGGCCCTGTAAATTGTTTTTTAAAAGAAGACTATCTTTAATACCAGAACAACCCTTGGCAGAGAACTACTCGTATTTGCCATTGGATCTTACAGAGCAGAGAGTTTGTTTCCTTTATTGAGTCCTCCTTTCCCATCTCAGGGCATATACAAATAAATTCTGCCATGATACAAATGCTAGAGTAATAGCAGTAGAAGCAACTGTTCTACAACTAGTCCAATAACCTGTCTAGTGAAAACCAGTATTTCTTCCAGAATAAGAACTTTTTTTTTTTTTTTTGTGCAACCAGGGATTGAACTCAGGCCCTTGCGCTTGCCAAGGAAGCACTTATTCTACTGAGCCATCTCCCTGGCCCCCAGAATAAGAACTTATCGTGTGCACAGCTACCTAGTGAAAAAAAAGCAAAAAAAAAAAAAAAAAAAAAAAAACAAACAAA